GACTCAGAATGGCCTGGAGGTTGAGTCAGGTGGGTTCCTGCTACGCAAGCCAAGATGGTTGAGCAGCTGGCTCCAGTAACAGCCTGCTCTCCTGTCGGGGTGGAGGTGGAAGTGGGGGCAGGGGGTGGTCCTCAGGTGAAGACATCCTCAGACGAGCTTTAAATCAACCAGTCTGCTTTACTGAACTCTTATTAGAGTGTCCCACACAGATTGTACTGGAGCATGGTTTTGGAGCTCCTGTTGTTATTTCTGTAACAGTTTCTGACTGTGAGATAGAATATCAGCCATCTTTGTTAGTAGAGATACTACTGTATCCTGTTTTTCATCTTGAGCCATTCACCTTCAGTTTTAACTGCTATTCCTGGTTTCCAGCACCCCTTGGAGCCCTGGCATGCTGCTCTTATCAACATAGGAATACCATCTGTGGTGAGAGTTAACTGTAGGCTATACAGAACATAGGGAAACAATACAGAGTTTATTTGGTTTTTTTTGTTTGTTTGCTTTTTTACCATTCTGCTTCCTATAGCTTTGTCTAGGAGCGCATTGTGGTGATAGTGAGAGTTAGCTGTTACAGCCAAAGATCTGTGTTCAAAGCACAAAGCTGAAAGCTGCCATCCTTGTGGTAGGGACAACATGCTCTCTGGTTATAGACAAAGACGGAAAGCCAAGAGAAGAAAGTAGTGTCCTTTGGAATGCTCATATAAGTCAAGCCCTGGATTATAATTAAGAGTCATCATATCCAGTAATTTCAAGGCCCTAGGCTATCCCAGGGGGGAACATAGTTGCTACTGGATATTTAATCAACGTATTAGCTTCACTGTATTATGAAATGGCATAAGAAAATAACACCAATGCAAATCTTCTAGTCCCTTTTTGGTATTCCTGAAGCAGTCCTGGGGTCAAATATGTGTGCAAAATGGCCAGAAAATAGAAATAGGTGTAACACTAGGGTCAAATTTTGTTTCTCTGTTTTTGTTTTTTTGAGACAGGGCCTTGCTGTTTAATTCAGGCTGGCCTTGAATTCACTATGTATCCCAGGCTGGGCTTGAACTTGACCTTGTGGTAATCTGCCTCAGCTTCTTAAGTGCTGGGATTACAGGCATGTACCACCATGCCCAGTTTAGGCTCATCTTTTAAAGCAAGATTTCAGCAGGATGGCTTAGAGAAGCAAATGAAAGGATAGTGTTAACGTGTTCTGGGCAAGGGGTGTTGGTTGCTCATGCTTCTTTCAGCCATTCCTATATTTCCATTGGTTGGTCGGTTCTTTCTTTCTCTTTTTCTTTTTCTTTTTTTTGCCCTATCGGGGGGCCTTTGTACTGAGCTATATCCCCAGCCCTTTTTAAAAAAAAGGGTTTTTCTTTTGAGACAAGGTCTCACTATGGAGTTTAGGCTGGTCTTGAACTCACCCTAAACTTGCAGTGGTCCTCCTACCTCAGCCTCCTGAGTGCTGAGATTACAGGCATGTGCCACCACACCCAGCCTTTTTCCTGGAGACAGGGTCTTGCTAAGTCACCAAGTAACTCATGGGCTGGGCTCAAAGTTGGGATCCATCTGCCTTAGCCTCCCAGAATGCTAGGATAACAGATGTATACCTGGCTTATTGGTATTCATTTAATCGAAGTAGTTCCAATAACAGGACAGCAAGATGGATGTGTAGTATAAATCCAGTTCAGAATCAGGGCTAGTCCCTGATACCAGACCTTTAAAGCAAAGAATCACTTGAGGATGAAGGAAAGACCACTTGAGCAGGAGGCAGGACAGAAACTAGGAGGACTTGGGGAAGGTGGACATTTCTGTGAAGGTGTTGGTGGCAGAACCAGAAGTCTGACTGTTAGTTACTAGCATGGGTGCAGTTTGACCTTTTGGCTGGACAGGTGTCTTGTCCTGTGGCCCCCCCCCCCGTCACCCCTCCCCATACCTCAGCCCGGCTGGGTTGAGGCTGAAAAGGCAGGGAGCCGGGCTAGTGGACAGCTTGACAGAGGTTGGAGCCCCAAGGTGGAGGGAGCCATGCCTTCTCCCTGGGGTGTGAGCCCTGTGGGTCAGGGGCAGGGCTCATCTGGGGAACCTACCAGGAGTGCCACGCCTGGCTCATTAGTGATGTCTTTGAAGATGAAACACTCCATAACCACTCATTGTTTCTGTGTTTTGGACAAACTAGTACTTTAGTCTCTAGGGAGTGTTGATCTAGCTGCTTTGCACTAGTCTGGAATTTGCTGCAAACTGAGTAGGAATAACAAAACAAAACAAAAACAAGCCTGAAGAAGTTTTTGAAAAACAACTAACCTCCCACCAAACCCCCATGCTTTGGCTTATAAGTAGGATTTTTCCCCATCCACCTTCCACATTCTTGAGTTGGGTGCACTCTGTCCCGACCTGTTCCTTTGCCTTCTGGGTTTGGGGTGTGTGTGTCTCTGGTTCCCAAACTGGAGCTACCAGCAGCTGGCATATGGCGATTGCAGATAAGCTGATGCATCCCTCCTCCAGGCAGAGAACTGGCTGGCATGAGTGGCTGGGTCCCCATTTCGTGACAGTTTCAAGGATGCATTTCTGTGGCTGCCCTGTGCCATTGAGAAGGGAGGGAAGAAGAGGGGCTAAATTAATGTGTTTCTGTTTCTTGGGAACAGTGGCTGGTGGATAAGTATTTTTGTATCTTCACCATGGTTCTTACTGCCCCTGCTTCATCCGTTCAGGGGGCATTTGTTAAGTGCCTATGTGTACCAGGTATAAACACCCAATTTGAGTGAGTTTCGAGTGAGGGCAGAGTGATCCCTTCTAGGGAACTTCTAACTGGAAGTTAGTTCAGCTATTTACTATGTGATAGGCACTATTCTGGGTACAGTAATACCTCAGGTCATGAACGCTTCTGTTGTCAAACAGTTTGGTTCTCAAAAGCATTCAAAAAGTTTTGCTTCTGTTCACAAATTCTACATTGAGTGACAAACACATTGAGTGGCCATCTTACCCCCACAAAAACCCAGTTATTTTCCCAAAAATGTAAAACAGGTTCCTGAACCGAGGTACCAGTATACTAGGGACACAGCAGTGAACAGAACATATAAGGAGCTGACATAGGAGGAAGGAAAAAATACAGCACGAAGTCATTATGTAGTGTGTCAGATGGTGATTGTTTGCTTGTTTGAGACGGGTCTCACTATATAGTTCAGACAGGCCTTAAACTTACTATGTAGCCTAGACTGGCCTCAAACTCACAGTGATCCTCCTGCCTAGGCCTCCCAGTGCTGGGATCACAGGCATGGGCCACCACACCCAGCCAACAGATGGTGATAAATGGTGGGTAGTTTGGGTTTTTTTGTACGGAGGATTGAAGTCAAGCCCTTTACACTGAACTACATCTCCAGCCCCTCTTTACTTTTTATTTTGAGACAGGATATTCCTAAGTTGCTCAGGCGGGACTCAAACATGGCAATTCTGCCTCAGCCTCCTGGTAACTGTCCTCCACCACACCTGGCTTGTTTTAACAAAATTGTGTGAAGAAAATTAAGAGTGGGAAAATGGAGTAAGAAGTGATATTTGGTGTTATTCTGGTCTTTAGGGAAGGCCTCTTTGGTAAGTAGCATTGGAACAAACACGTGAAGGAAGTGAGAGCAAAGTCCATGGCAGTTATCTGGTAAAGGAGCCTTCCAGGCAGAGGGAATAGCAAGTACAAAAGCTTCCAGGCAAGAAAGTGTGGGCAGGTTGCTGTGGAACAAGCAAAGGGAGAGTGGCAAGAGATCTTAGGAGAGATGTAGGGGAGTGTAGGTCTTACAGGGCCTGTAAACTGTGGCATGGACTTCGGGTTTTACTGAAAGGGAGTTTCAGAGCTGAGAGAGGTTTCTTTGCTTTTTGCAGTTTTTGAGGTTGTATGTGCTAGGCAAGCACTCTACCACTGAGCTACAGCCTCAACCCTTTTTTTTTTTCTTTTTTCTTAGTACCAGGGATTGAACTCAGGACCTTGTGCTTGTGAGGCAGGGACGGTGCCACTGAGCTAAATCCTTGGCTTTCTCAGCCCTTTTTAAACATTTTATTTTTGAGTTAGTATTGCAAAGTTGCCCAGACTGATTTTGAACTTGCAATCCTCCTGCCTCAGCCTCTTGAATAGCTGGGCTTACAGGCTTGCAGTACCACATTTGGAAAGAGAGGGTTTTGAACAGACTTGATTTTGGTTTTACACATGGTCACTCTGGCTGCTATGTGGAGAGCAGGCAGATGGGGTTAGGGAAGTAACAGGGCATGAGCTGACTGCCCCGTTGCAGGTGACCAGTTCTCCCTAGACGGGCCACAGCGAGCTTGGGCTCTGTCTGGCTGAGGACAGACTCTGTCTGGCTCTCCACCCCACCTCCCCGCTCTTAAGGTGCCACTGTGTGGACAGAGTACAACTTTAGCAACAGGTAGTTCACAGAATGTAAAGAATCAGCTTCTCTCGGGAGTTCTACTCTCTTACTTTCTTATTTTGTCCTCACACTGGTGTGGAAGAAAGATGGAATTGTAGACTGTAGGCAAGGAAGCAGCCCCTTGATTAGAAAGGAGAGCATAAATCTCGGGAACCTGGCAAGCCTGGACTTTGACAGCAGTCACAGAGAGCCACTCCTCATTCCATGCCTTCCATTTCTACCCTTTCCAGACGTCTCAGGGTAAGGTTGGGGGAGGGAGGGGCAGAAGTGATCTTGCAACGCCTTGTGGTGTAGTATAGAATGTCAAAACTGAAGGGACTTTAGGAATCACCGGGCTGAACCATCTCAGTTTACAGATGCAGATCTGGGAAGATGAAGTCACTTTCTCAGAGTCATGCAGTAGGTTCCAGACAGCAAGGATCCTCAGCATTCCCTGCTTTGTCTCTGCTCCTAAAGGTCCAGGATGTGCCTGAGTGGGCCTTGGTATTTGTAGTCCCCTCAGGCTCTCATTTGTCATGAATGAATTCCAGCTATGACTTTAGTAAGTTCCACTTACATGAACTCCTGACAAGCAAATGGTAGTAATGAGTTTGTGTTTCCTTTACCTAGGATCAAGTCCTCCATACCAGGGACCAGGCTGCAGCTGCTTCCACTTGAGCCCCCCTATCCGTAGAGAGCAGCTGCTGTAATCATGGGCAATATCTTTGGAAACCTTCTCAAGAGCTTGATTGGGAAGAAGGAGATGCGCATCCTGATGGTGGGCCTGGATGCTGCCGGAAAGACCACTATCCTGTACAAGCTGAAACTGGGGGAGATTGTCACCACCATCCCCACCATTGGTAAGGGCCCAGCTTGTATGTGGCCTTCTGTGCCGGCAGCTGAGGCATGGCAGGAGGTTTATTCCTAGATCCCCTACCTGGCCACTTCTCCCCAGACAAGTCCATGCAATTTGTAGACCTCAGAGAATGATGACTATTTAGTTTAGTAGCAGCTGCTGGGGGCCTGCTGTTTCCCCACCTACCTTGGCCCTCCCTAATGGGAGAACTTCCACAGCCTGGCACTGTATACCTGCCCTCATGCACTAGAGTTGGTTTGTTCTCTGTGTTCTTTGGAAAGCAGGTGAAGGGCTTTTTTGTTCCTGCTGTCAGCGTAGAATTGCTTTGGATCTTTGGGCCAGTCCTGACTATGACCTGCCTGTGGGAGGCAGAACATTTGCCACATGGATGGGAGCTCTGGGTCATCATCTGCAGCTTGCTTTGCATTTGGGGCTTCAGGACTGTAGCTCATTGCTCATTCTTCATCTGCCTCTCAGCTCCCCATCTTATTTGAGGCAGATGGAAGGAGTGGGGAAGCTCAGCTTCCTGACCAGACCCCCTCATCCTCTTTGACTTCGGTCCTCAGGCTACTGGGCTTGAGGATGACTTAGCTTTCCTTTTTAGTGTCATGACCTGTTGTTCTTTTTTTCTCCTGAAGGATTTAACGTGGAAACAGTAGAGTATAAGAATATCAGCTTCACAGTGTGGGATGTAGGTGGCCAGGACAAGATTCGGCCCCTCTGGAGGCACTACTTCCAGAACACCCAAGGTATGGCTGATGAACTGCGCAGGACTGGCATGGATTATGTGGGGAGGAGTGGAGTGTGGGTGTCTTCCTTGATTGTAGGCAGCCAACCCTTGCCCTGCTACAGCTTCTAGGGCTAGGGAAAAGGAGGAAAAACCGCAACCATTTGAACAGTGTAAGGAGAGAATGGTCTTTTGAGGGTGGGGGAAGAGGCCATCTGTCGTCTCCGCAGCCTCTGCTCTGCCTCCCTAGGCTTGATATTTGTGGTCGACAGCAATGATCGGGAGCGAGTAAATGAGGCCCGGGAAGAGCTGATGAGGATGCTGGCCGAGGATGAGCTCAGGGACGCCGTGCTTCTTGTCTTTGCAAACAAACAGGTGAGACTTCTACCCACCCCTGAATTTGGGAGAGCCCAACCTGGTTGTGGAGATCATGGGGCCTTGGGTTCATTGTGTGGGAGTCCAGGCTCTCAGTTTTGGAAGTGTGGGAAATAGGAGCAGTTGGCTTCTTTATGTCCCTTTTGTCCTCTGCCTGTCTTTATTTAGCAACAGTTTCGTCTTCAGGGATTGATGTGGTAGATGCATCACCTCAAATCTTTCTTTCCTTTTCCCCGTTACACACTTCACTAGAACTCTTGTCACTCCTGCTGTCAGACAGATTTGATTCTTGGCCTGTCTAAATCACCTCTCCACTTTCCTATGAGCCCCATGCAATATTCGGTTTCTAGCTTCTTAGTGGAACGACCATATAGAGCCTTGGATCTGGGGGTCTAGGGTGACCAAGTTCAAAGTAGATCTCTTGGATCTTGTTCTGGGTTTCCTAAAATGGAGGAGGAGGGAAAAGTGCTGGAACACATCTCTTTGGTAGATGGGTGCTCTTCAAGCCTTTGGAAGCTCTTCAGGCTCCTTTGTGTTTGTCTCCCTCACACTCCAGGATCTGCCGAATGCTATGAATGCTGCTGAGATCACGGACAAGCTGGGCCTGCATTCTCTGCGTCATCGCAACTGGTACATTCAGGCCACCTGTGCCACCAGTGGGGATGGGCTGTATGAAGGCCTGGACTGGCTGGCCAATCAGCTCAAAAACAAGAAGTGAGAGCCAGACAGCCCTGTCCAGCCAGCCCACTCACCCCTGACATACCCGTTATCTCCCTGCCCCAGTCCTACCCTTTTCCACTGCAAGTGTGGCCAGGGCCCTGGGTATCATGTCCGCATGCCCAGCAAGAGCCTTGCCTCCCCTGCCTCCCCTTCTTTCCCCTTTCCATTGACATGACCAGTCCCCAATTGCTGTCTTGATGATGAATCATTCCAATTTACTGGATTTAAAACAAAAAACAAGGTTGTTATGGTTTCATGGGATAGCCCCTCTCACCCTCTGGGTTTGGGGAGGTGGGGTGGGATATTCTCCGTTTGCTTCATTGGCGCTGGTTGTTGTGCTCTTGGCATCTGAGTCTGCCACAGGCCCCTCTCCTATTTCCTGTCTTCCTTTTCTTTGACACCCTCTCCTGTTGTACATGGAAAGTACATGGGCCTCTCTGTGTGTGCGTGCATGTGTGCGCCTGTATATATATGTATAGAGAGATATATAGGTGGGGGCCAGGGGGAATGGGGAGGGGGTGGAGTGCAGCTCAGGGCTTGCAGCCAGGACACTGCCCGCTGGAGCCTGTCACCTGCTCCATCCTTGTTGGTGAGGTAAAGGAAAGCAGGTGAGAGGGTTGGGGGCAGGCAGGACTGCCCTCTCTTCTCCTGTCTGCACGTGGGTGTTCCTGGATGGCAGGACGGATGATGGATTCTCTACCACCGTCTTCCTTATACCCCTTTCTCTCTACCTTTCTCAGGGCAGGGGTTGGCATTTCTCTAGATGATTGTTCCCAAGGAGATGCCATTCTGCTCTGCCTTGTTAGTGGGAAGGAGAGAGGAACCCACTCACTCTTATCAGCCCAGAGTGTTCAACAGATCTTCCCCCACCATCATTAGATCTGTTCTCTGGAGCTTGAGGGGGAGGTGGGGATAGCAAGACCCATGTCTGTTTGGGATCCAGGACCCTAAGGTGGGTTTTGGTGCCATGGGGGAGGCCTTGGGTTTTCTGCTTCATTCTTTGTTACTAGGAGAAGGTGAGGCTTGGGTCAGTTTTATTCCTCCCTTCCTGTGCCCTCCCCCTTGATCTTGGGGGCTGGGTGGTTTCGTCTGTCATTTTGTCAGTCTTCTTACTCTGGCAGCCCTGCTGGCCTATCAGGGCTGAGTGGTGGAAGAAGCTTTGGAGCTGGGGTGAAGATAGCAGACCTCAATAGCAACCTTCCTAGTCTCCAGTTTTCTATCTTTTCCTAGTCTAGGATGAGCTAAAGGATGAAGGTTTTCTGTTGTTTTGAGCCCCTCAGACCATCCTTGCCGTCCCCTCCATTCCAACAGCTTTCCCATCTTCCTCACCCACTTCCCATATATGGAGGTTGGAGTGGAGGAAAGTGGATCCTAAGCAGTTAGTTGTTGGTGCTGGTGAGAGGCAGTGGTCTTCAGGACCCTCCTTCCATTATTATGTAGTTGTTCCGAAGCTGCTGCTACTCTGTCCCTGTCTACAGGGGCTGCTTGTTCCTGAAATCCTGGCTCGGTTCCTGATTTCTGCGGTTTCTGTGAAGCCGTGGCTGTTCTGTGGGCTCCTGTGTGTGCTGGCTGCGCCCTGAGCTCCAAGACATATGCCCATTTTGGCTAATATCAGGGCCCAGGGACTCCACAGCATGGCTGAGGGACCCTTTCCCAGAAGGGCTGTCCCAAGGCCCACTACATGGGGCCAGGCTTCCTGTCCCTTTAACTTCAGCAGGCAGATGGATACTCCACCCAGATTGAACTGTGAGAAGTTCCAGGGGTGTCTCCCTCAGTGCCAGTTACTTGGTGACGTGTTACTTACCCAAGACGCAGTGAATGCAGGTTTCTTGCTCTCTAGGCCTCTCTGTGTGTGTGTGTGTGTGTGTGTGTGTGTGTGTGTGTGTGTGTGTGTTTATGCATGCATGTGCTTGCATTTGATGTGTATGTATGAGAGTGCTAGAAGTTCTGTTTCATTTTAAAATGGGTTCACTCCTCTGACCCCACAGAAGCTTCCCTTCATACTTTTTCTTTGCACTTTCTGATTTTGTGCTGTCCTCCCCTGGTTACCTTTCCTTCTCTGAACCCTTTCCTTGCCTTCTCAATTTATTCACTGCTATTGCTTGTTTTTCTGGGCCCCTCCCCCTGCCCTATTCATGATTCCCCACTCTGTTATCTTTGTAGTTGGTGAGGACTGTGCCTCTTCTCCTGCCTCACTCCTTCTCTGACCCTCCCTAGTTAGATGCCAGTTCCAGGTAGGTTTCCTCATTCCAGACCTCACCCCTATCTTGTTTTCTTGGCCTCCAGAGCCAAATCTGGGGCTGAGGGTGTTAAGCAGCGCTGGAGGTTACCCTCCTGCTGCTCCAGGTTTTTCCAGCAGGGGGCAGCAAGCGATCTTGGTTGCATCCTTGATGGCAGACCCTTGGGCAGGGGTAGTCCTTTATACATTCCTGTTTGCCTAACAGCTAGCTCTTTTGGGATTGAGTGTTTCATTGCATTTCTGCCCACTCCCTCTCCAACTCGCCTCAGGTGGGTTTATTTTTATGCTTTTCCTGTTCCAGCTTTTTTCTTCCTGGGGACTCCCCCCTCTCCCCACCTCCAAAGTTTGTGGTGTTTATAGTGGTAATTGCAGTTCTAAACTGGTTTTTCTCTTTTTTTCCTCCTCTGGAATGTAGACTGTTGTACATGTTTAATAACTCACCTTCTCTATCCTTGCTCCAAATGTGGGATAACGCAATGACTGTGACCCTGGTTGGAAATTAAACTTGTTTTATGCAGCTTTGGAGCAGACCTTCATCTTTGATGTGCAGCAGCTATGGGGCAGTGGGTTAATGGTGCAGGTAGTTCTGTTTCTAGTCCCCTTCTCTATACTGCTGCTCCTCAGCAGAGGGGCATTTGGTGGGTGGAGAGTGAGGTTATGGAGGAATTTAGGCTCATCTCTGCATTGCTTATTTCCCATCATACCTCAGAGGGAAGTTCAAAAGAATCAGGCACCAGAGTACGAGGCTGTGTGACTTTGCTCCTCTAGTTCTAGAGCTTAACACTGAACTTACCCGTATTTATTACCCATTTTAGATTTTAGGGACTTCAGTGACCACAGGGCCCTGTTGTACCCCCACTCTCAGATCTCCCCAGCCCCACACATCAGGTGCTTCTAGTTCAAACTCTGTCATAGACTAGAGTCCTCACACCCACCTAGGTCTGGACTTTGGCTGTGAAGGAGCATGAAGGGTATGTGAGCAGCGTAATGAACTTGACCCTTCATACAAGCGATGGTCTTGCATCATCTCAAACTGCAGCACGTGGTTCCCAGTGTCAGGGTGCTAACCCTTATCCAGAGATTGTGCACGTACCCTGGGGAACAGACCTTGTCCAGAAAGTCCCCTTTCTCCCATCCCATTCTCACCACTGCTCTGTTCCTCTCTCATTGCTGTTGTTTAGTTCCAGGTGAAGCAAAGATGGCATTGCCCTTGAGCGAGGTGACACAGGCAGACCTCCCACACTCCTACTACTTTCTTAACCTTTGAGATGGGAAAAAGAAAGGATTTAGGCATTTAATAAGTTTGTGAAGCTGGTGCATACCTGTAATCCCAGCGCTCTGGGAAGTTGAGGCAGGAGGATTGCAAGTTAGAGCTCAGCCTGGGCAATTTAGCAAGGTTCTGTCTCAAGATTAAAAAGAAGGGGGGGGGTGTGAGGAGATGGGACCGGGGCTTTAGCTCATTGAAGGCCCTGGGTTCAGTCCCCAGTACCATTCAAAAAAGAAAAGGTTTGGGCCAGGGATCTAGCTCAGTGGCACTACACCTGCCCCGTGAGCGCAAGGTCCTGAGTTCTATCCCTGGTACCAAAACAAAAAAAGTTTGAGAGCCCAAGTATCAGTGTGTAATGTATATGAGTTGTAAAGTACTCAGTTACCTTTTTGCTGCCTTCTCCACCAATTTTCCTGTTCAGTTTCCCTTTTGTTATTAATAAGCTATGACCCTTTAAGACCAGTGTTTCTGCCTTTTGTAATCCTCAAACTACTCTGCCCATCTGTCTTAACATCCCTGTAGCTTCAAGCAGTACCCACTTAATTCTTTCTCTTTTTTTTTTTTTTTTTGGTACCGGGGATCGAATTTGGGTCCTTGTGCTTGTGCAGCAGGCAGCGAAACCACTGAGCTAAATCCCCGGCCCTTTAAACCGCGGTTCCTTTGGTTTTTTTTTTTTTTTACACTTAATTCTCAAAATCAGGTGATACTTTGCTCCTGCTAGGCTCCTCCAGGCTCCTTGGTGACAGGTTGCTAGTAAGTTAGGACCACTTTTCTCAAGTGCTTTATTTGTATGTTAATAAGTAACTTCCAGAGCCAAAACATCTTACAAGGCTGTGATAATGCAGTGCACTTAGCTGAATGGAACGCCAGAAAGGGTCTTTTGACCCCTGAGCAACTTGGAGAAGAAAATGCCTTACTCCTTTCTGTCCCCTAGTACTCAATGTAGGATGCCAAGATGTAGAGGGGAGCCCTCTGGTGGCAGCAGCCCCACCTTCCAGAACATGAATGGCTCATCTGTCTTCCCTTGACAAAGGACCCAGACCTTTGGGAAAATCTGGGCAAGGAAGCTTCTGAAAGGAGCCTGGAAAAAGCCAGTGGAAGGGCTTGGATTGACCCAAGTGGGATGCAGGATAAAGCTGTCTCCTTCGTTTCAGAGTGTGGGACGGTGACAGGAGTGTGAGTAGGAGTTTCTCAGATCTGAGTCACAAAGCCTGAAAGCTCAGTGCACTCACCACTGCCTGTTCAATGCTTAGATTGGTTAGAGCAGAAAGGTGGCAATTGTTTATTTAGTCCTTTCTGTGTTTTTTAGATTTGTGTTAAAAATGGGTCAAAGCAGCGTACTTAGGCAGGGATCAGGGGATCCATTTTTGGACTGCTCTGAGATCTTGGGATGTGGGGTAGTGAGAGTTGGGGAATAACTGTGTAGAGGATACCCTTAACATATTACCAAAGTCTGTAGGATTTTATTATGGTAAACACGCTTGTTTTCCAAGTGTATCATAGGATCAAAACAATTCAGAACTAGAACATAACTCACAATAAGGTGCTTTAAACGTTTATTTAACTGAAATGGCATACACTGGCTTCTGTTTGTTTTGGTACATCTTTTCCCCATGGTGATTTAGAGGATCTTCAACCCAATATAAATATTTTATAAATATTTGGCCATTTGGATATACTGTGGAATACTTCACATCTTTCAGCAAGAAAACCACTGAAGAGTAAAGACCT